GTAGACAAAATTACATTCACATGTTCTCCACGCCAGGCATCCACTTGCTGAGATTCCAGGAGGCAGAATTTAAAAAGTTAGATAGATTTATAGCAACAGTATATACTATGTCCTTGGGAAACATTCTCTTGTGATAGAAAAAAGGCTTTGCGATCGCCTCATGCGGACTTCATGCTAATGTTGATTCATGGACACATAACGCCCACGGGATTGTTTACTAAAGAGACAAAGTGGAATCAGAGGTCCCCTTTCCCCCTTATTTTCTGGCCTGTCTATGGCTTATATATTCAAGTTGTGGAGAACCGAAGAGTTTATGTACTAGAGAGGTGGTTAACTTATTCCAAGGAAGTCAGATACATATGTATGTGGATGTGTGTGTGAGTCGGAGTGTAGCGATACTCGTGTGTATCATTAAAACCGGCCCCTCAGGGACTTTACATGTAGGAAACAGCTGTTCCCTATGGTCTGTACTGCATTATGTCAGTAAAGTAACATTGTGAGTGGGTGTGAGAGAAGTCTATAACCACTAACAAGTTAAATCCTTCAGGAAATAAAACACAGAGATTAGAGCTTGACTGAGACTTAGCTCCAGATAAAATTAATGTTAATAGGGGGCCGTGCCTAAAATTTAATTCGGTTTTCTTCTCCTTTCTACTAATGTTGATTACGTCTATTAGGAATTTATACTTGACGGTAGAATAAGAAGTTTTTATTATACACTCAGGTATATTATTACCGTCGATTGTATCATGATTGCATTATAACAATCTCTTCATATGGTAAGTTGTAGACAAAGCATCTGGAAAAGGGTATTAGTGGTGGGAATAAATTTCAGAGGGACTAATGAGAAACTTCTGGCTGACAGAAAAAGAATGGCAGATAAAGGGCTTATAGTATCTGTGAAATATTTGTGTGTGAGTAGTCACTATTCCAATCCATTCATCCATTTAAACCGGGAACATTGAAACCATTATATAATGTATAGAATTCTATTCACACTTATTGTTTTCCATTTTTTTTCTGCCCATTAAGAGTCTTATAGCTAAAGAGATTGGAAAATACTTATTTTCAGACTTTGGGACCACATTTTAAAGTGTATCAAATATTCCACACAATGCTAATAATTGCCTAAGGTGATCATGAAGGAATAACAACGAAAACATCATACCGAGTAACCCGCACTAATAGTCACTTTCCCAGACATTATCTGTGCTTGATCCTCAGAAGAAAATTAGTGAAGGCAGGGGGCGCCTGGGTGGCTCAGTCAGTTGAGCATCTGACGTCAGCTCAGGTCATGATCTCACAGTTCATGGGTTCGAGCCCCGTGTGGGGCTCCGTGCTGCCAGCTCAGAGCCTGGAGTCTGCTTCGGATTCTGTGTCTCCCTCTCTCTCTGCCCTCTCCCGCTCATGCTCTGTCTCTCTTTCTCTCAAAAATAAATACAAACATTAAAGGAAAAAAAAGAAATCAGTGAAGACAGAAGTGATGCTAAGTGACTTTTGCAACAAGGTCATTAAAATGCCATATATTTCTGTGCTCTTTAAAAAATTTTTTTTTTACATTTATTTATTTTTGAGAGACAGAGCACAAGTGGGGGAGGGGCAGAGAGAAAAGGAGACACAGAATCTGAAGCGGGGTCCAGGCTCCGAGCTGTCAGCACAGAGCCCGACCTGGGGCTCGAACTCACAGACCATGAGATGACCTGAGCCGACCGTGAGATGACCTCAGCCATGACCTGAGCCGAAGTCGGATGCTTAATCGACTGAGTCACCCAGGCGCCCTCTCTGTGCTCTTAAAATGTCCACTTTCAACCAAGCCAGTATGCTGTGAGGAATCAAAGTGGCCACATGGATAGGGCACCTGCAGGCGTTCCACGTAAGACCCCAGGAGAGAACCAAAGTCAGCCACCAGATATGAGCGTGAGAGAGGAGGCTTCACATGATTCTGGCCCCCAACAATTCAGTCATCTCCAGCCTTGAACCATCCCGGCTACAGCCTCATGTAGTGACAGATGAGTTGTCCACACAAAACCATGCTCTAGCTTCATGAACAGAATATATGGTGATTGTTGTTTCAACACTAACCATTTTGTGGGAAGGTTTGTCATGAAACAATAGATAGCTGCGACATAGGCACGACGATCCATCTACTTACAAAGGAGACAACAGCACACTCTCAGCTAACCCAGTATCATGTGGCTGAATATATCAGATCCAAGGCGAAAACCAGGTCATTTAATTTCAAGTCTAGTGCTCTTTGCTCTATGCCACTAATGGTCAATGAATAAAGCATCCTTTTTCTGCAATCAGTAACTCTCAAATTTTGAGTTGTCCCTTATAAATATCAGTATATTTTTCATTTTTATTGACTAGCTGAAGTCTACTAATGCTGTAAAAATTAGAAAGTACACTGGCTGTTTTAGCTATGTACATTAACAACTCAAACATAATTAAGGCGAATCTGCCAGAGATGATGAAAACAAGATGATGAAAAAAGAATGATAAAAACTAAAAACTAACAAGCCAAAAAATGACTTGCTTTGTCATTGTTTCTGGAAATTTTCTCTGATCCTTTCTTGTCTTTGTCATATTTGGTCTCCCCTCTACACTCAAAGAGTTCTCTTTAATATTTCTTGCAGGGCTGGTTTGGTGGTCACAAAATCCTTTAGTTTTTGTCCGGGAAACTCTTTATCTCTTCTATTCTGAATGATAGACTTGCTGGATAGAGTGAACTTGGCTGCAGATTCTTCCCATTTCAGCACTTTTGAAAATCTCATGCCACTCTCTTCTGGCCTGCCAAGCTTGTTGAGAAAACTCCAGCCAGCTTTATGGGTTTTCCCTTGTAAGTTAAGGACTTATTTTGTTTTGCTGTAAGATTTTCTCCTTATCACTATATTTTGCAAATTTAATTACAGAATGTCTTGGTTTTGGGCTGCTTTTGTTGATTTTGAAGGGAGTTCTCTGTGCCTCCTGGATCTGGATGCCTGTTTCCTTACCCAGATAGGGAAGTTTTCTGTTATTATTTTTTGAAAAAAATTTTCTTCTCCCTTTTCTCTCTCTTCTTCCTCATCTCCTATAATACGAATGTTATTACTTTTGATGGAGTCACTGAGTTCCCTAAGTCTATTCTCATGTTGCATAATTTGTCTTCCTCTCCTTTTTCAGCTTCATCATTTTCTACTATTTTGTCTTCTAGGTGACTAATTTGTTCCTCTGATTTTTTCCGGCCTGCTGTTCATTTCATCAAGCCGGTTTCCGAGCTCATTTATTTCACTCTCCATCTCTAATTCTCTTGTAACACTTTTCTCTGTTGTAAGAGTCTAAACGGCTATTAATACCTATCTATTAATAATTATTTTAATGTAAACAGATTAAATGCTCTATTCAAAAACACAGGTGTCAGAATATATAAAAACACAAGATCCATCTATATGCTGTCTATAAAAGACTCTTTTTTGACCTAGAGACACCTGCAGATTGATAGTGAGGGGAGGGAGAAACATCTATCATGCAAATGAATGTCAAAAGAAACAGTAGTAATTCTTATATCAGACAAACTAGACTTTTTTGTTCTTGTATTGTTTTTATTATGCTTTGGTGTCAGGGTTGACCTAGTGTCATGGAATGATTTTGAATGTATTCCCTCTATTCCATTATTTGTAAGATTTTGATAAAGGTTGTCATTAAATTTATTTAACGTTTGGCAGAATTTACCAATGAAACCATGTGGTCTTGGGCTTTTCTATGCTGGGAGATTTTTTTTTTTTTTAACGTTTATTTATTTTTGAGACAGAGAGAGACAGAGCATGAACGGGGGAGGGGCAGAGAGAGAGGGAGACATAGAATCGGAGACAGGCTCCAGGCTCTGAGCGGTCAGCACAGAGCCCGACGCGGGGCTCGAACTCACGGAGTGTGGGGATCGTGACCTGAGCCGAAGTCGGCCGCTTAACCGACTGAGCCACCCAGGCGCCCCTATGCTGGGAGATTTTTGATTCCCAGTTCAACTTTCATTCTTGTTATTGGTCTAAGATGATTTCCTACTTCTTGCATTCAAGATTCATGATTCAATCTTGTGCATTTTTAGGAATTATCTTTTTTTTTTTTTTAATTTTGCTTATGGTAATCTGTTCGCACAGTCTATATCTCTGTAGTTATCTGTTGTGATATTTTCCATTTCTCATTTTGGTTTTTGAGTGTTCTCTTTTTTTTTCTTAATGTTAAAGCATTGCCAATTTCATTTATTTTTTTAGAAAAATTGCTCATTACTTTCAGTGTTCTGTTGTTTATTCTGGTCTCTATTTTACTTATTTCTGATTTTTCTTTGTTATTTCCTTCTTTCACTAAATTTCAGCTAAGTTTCTTCTTTTACTAGTTCCTTGGGGTATAATATTAAGTTGTTTATTTGAAATTTTTAAAAAATTAATTAATTTATTTTGAGAGAGAGGGAGAGAGGCACAGTGTGAGTGGGGGAAGGGTACAGAGAGAGGGAGAGAGAGGTAGAGAGAGAATCCCAAGCAGGCTTCACACGGTCAGCACAGAGACCAATGCAGGGTGCAAACTCATGAACCATGAGATCATGACCTGAGCCGAAATCAAGGATTTGGTGCTTAACCTACTGAGCCACCCAGGTGTCCCTGAACTTTTTTCCTTAATACAAGCATTTATAGCATAAGTTACATTCTAACATCTGTTTTTGCAACCCATAGGTTCTGGAATATTGTATTTTCTTTTTCTCATGTTTTGAGGTATATTTTGATTTGCTGTTTGATTTCCTATTTGGCCCAATGCCTATGCAGTAGTGTGTTGTTTAATATTTACATATTAACTATTTAATATTTTAAAAAGTTCAAAAAATATACAAATATCAAACTCATATTTTAAGTATTAGTACTTAATGACTAATTTTGCATAAAATACATTATCAAATGGCCAGTTTGGTAGACTTAATTTTAATAAGTTTGAAAATCAGACTTGGTTAATGGGGGACAATGATTAGCACTTACTCTCTTTCTTTCCATAAAACCTTTTGGAACTCATCCAGATGTACCTGCAAAGCTGAAATTTCAGGCACTTTATTCTCCAAAGGCAGGTTTATTGCTTGTGGTCTTAATGCAGATTTCAGTGTGCTGTTTTCAGAAACAGTCCTTAATGAATCAGGACAGTTAAGATTGAGTTTCGTCTCTTCATTTAATTTTAACTGGTCAATATTCAAACCTTCTTCCTGAAAAAAAAAAATAAAGCAGTTATTGTTAAATTTTTACATCTAGTGTAGAAAAATCATAAAGAAAACATAGTTTTGGAAGGAAACAAATCTTATGATTCAGCACCAAATTCCTCTTTTCATTTCTTTATCAGTCTCTAAAGAGGTATACGACTGAACTTTAACTAGCATTCCTCAAGCTTTCTTTTTCCCTTCTATGTTCTACCATCTGATAAAATATATTTCAGTCTTTGCAAATTGTTCATTTACAATGTAACCTAGGTTACATCTACCATAAATCCCATATATCACAGAAAGGCTTAAAAGTTTAGATAGAACTATAGATGAGCAAGATATGTTTTATATTTTTAGAGATGGAATTAAATAGAAAGGGGTAACAATATAAACTGATGCTATTTAAGGAGACAAAATGAATAACTCAGGTTTCTGGAAAACCACAACCAATGAGTGTGTCATTTTCCTTTTCCTCTCCATTACTGTATAGGGCATTCAAATGTGCCCATAATCTCTGGTTCCTCTGTGGGTGTTTTTCTTACCTTACTATCCGGGTTCTCCTTTGTAGGAAATTCTCTTTTTACCGGACAACCTCTGATAGACTCCCACGTTTGTGAACCAAGGTGAAATGGGTCTCTTTGTGCAGAAGGCCCTTCCAGGAAAGTAGGATGCTTCAGGTCTTGGGTAGTTTCTAATACCTCCTTTTGATGTGGCAAACTCTGCTTCTTCTTCAGTGCACTCAATTCTTTCATCGTCATCTCCAATTTTATTCTGAGCTGTCTTCCTTCCTCCCTGGCGCTGTTCCTTTCGGCCCGAACCTTGCTCCATTTTTCTCTCCAATTGGCAGTGCAGTCTGACCACCACCTCATGGTCTTCTCCATCTGGGCAGCTCTGGCCTTGACTTCTTCAAGTTCCCTCAGGCGAAGCTCTTCGCAAATATTCCACTCGCTGGTGTTACAGGAGTGAGTGCAGAAGTTGTGAGCGGCACGTGATTGCAGTCCCTGATGTGGCAAACAGGAAGGACAAGTGTCCTTCGGGGATGAAGCAGGTGCTAACATGTCACAAGGTGGTTTAACTGATGGCTCCCGCATCTGGAAGATGTGTGTTTCCTCAATTAACCGATGAATGGAATCTAAATTCATATTTATCTTTTCAGGTCTAAGAGAAGACAGAAAACATAATTAACATTTGAATTGCCCTCGCAATTATAAGAGCAAGATGGACATTTAAAAAAGAAAGCTGATGGGCGCCTAGGTGGCTCAGTCAGTTGAGCGTCTGACTTCGGCTCAGGTCATGATCTCACGGTTCGTGAATTCGAGCCCCGCGTTGGGTTCTGTGCTGACAGCTCAGAGCCTGGAGCGTGCTTTGGATTCTGTGTCTCCCTCTCTCTCTGCCCGTCCCCTATTCACGGTCTGTGTCTCTTTGTCTCTCAATAATAAATAAATGGTAAAATAAAAAATTAAAAAAGAAAGCTGATGAAAACAATGTATCTTTCAATATTGCAGATTTTTCTTTCCACTATAACTAAAAATATAGAGCTAATGCATTTATAATTAGCCTGAAAGAAACAGAAAATGCTCATATGAAATATTGCCAAGTGAACACAAATAAAAATGTAAAGAGCAATTGAGGATAGCACATGACATGAATAATTCATTTTAACAAATCCAGTTCTTTACAGGTAATATTTACTATAACACAGATTGTCCATTAACAACTCAGTGATCCTCTTTTCTGTGCTAATTTAGCCACAACCTGCTTAAGTGGAAGGTGGAATCTATGATCTCCAGGAGGAGAAGCCCAGGGGCTAAATATTCTAATGTGTGTTCTAATCCCAGAGGCTAAATCATGATTGGTCTAACTCTTCCACGATGGAATTCGGAAGAGTCTCATTACCATCTCATTGACCATTCACTAGTCTCAAGACAGCATAGGACCTGCTTCTAGCTGAGATTTGAAGGGAAGTCGGCCAGGGAAGTTTCCCATCTAAAAAACATGAAAAAATCAGATTGAGAAACTCTTTTCTTCTGCTTTCTTCCCACCAAAACAAGGACATGATTCTGGAAGAAGGCAAGTGTCACAGCCACCTTACAACATTTAAATCGGTGGAACAGAGATGAAAAGAGCTTGATTTAGTGACTGAGCTATGCCATGAAATCTAGAATGCACACCTCTCGTTTTCTTGCCATGTGAGAATAATCACCTGACTTTACTTAAGCTGTGATTGTTGAGTTTCTGTCACTTGCAGTCAAAATGACATGAGACTGATAGATGAACCACTTTCACCCTATGGTTAATATAATGATAAATTCTACACAAATACTATGAATAAGACATGGGGTTTATCCTCAAAGATTTTGTAGTTCAGTGGGCAATACAAGCACATAAAAATAAAAATACGTATTCACACTAATTATTCAATCAATCTTTCTTCAGTACATACTATGTGTCATATCAGTGTTAGGTTGCTACCATATATAGGAGATACTCAGAAGTCTTGAACTGTCTCCTAGAAATGAAGACACCTCACAGCACAGATAACATTGAACAGTCTTAAAAACATCAAAGCTTTATAAAGAAATTACAAACAGCTTGCCATATAATAACAAACGCAAATTAACTGGTAAGAGTAGACCCTCTTATCTGTATGCACGCCCATTACTTTATTCAATATAGCAACATAGCTATATTGATGACATAGTGAATAGAACCTTTTCTTTTTTTTTTTTTTTTAATTTTTTTTTTCAACGTTTATTTTTGGGACAGAGAGAGACAGAGCATGAACGGGGGAGGGGCAGAGAGAGAGGGAGACACAGAATCGGAAACAGGCTCCAGGCTCTGAGCCATCAGCCCAGAGCCCGACGCGGGGCTCGAACTCATGGACCGCGAGATCGTGACCTGGCTGAAGTCGGACGCTTAACCGACTGCGCCACCCAGGCGCCCCTAGAACCTTTTCTTTAAAATAAATGCTTAAAACATGCAGCTTAATCTACAAATTAATAAAGGTCTGTGGTTGTATAAGATTACCCACTTTTATTATCAAGTAAGATTTATTGTTATAAGTGACATTTAATGCACATGACATTAATTCCTCTCATTTTTTATTTGCTTTTTTATATAGTTACAGATCATAAACTATCTCCTTATGAACCATCCATTTAATCAATCGAAGGGGTTTCATTATACTAACAACTTACAAAATAAGTCTTTATTTACTGAAGAAAAAGCTATTATAATATTAAATATATATCCTTTTCAGTTGCAAGAAAAATACACATTTTAACAAGTATTCTGTAGAGGTGCCAAAACAATTCACTCCTTGTTATAATACTTACAATAATATAGATTCATGGTTGTAATTATTTTTGTTAGCATTGGTATATGTCCAATCACATTTGAGTTAGTGCTGATTTGGAGAAACTGTTCCCTACATTTACTGTAATTCAGAGGGCAATGATAATATAGCTCACCAAATTTCTTAGACCACTGGTAAACCAAGACCAATTTAAAAAAAAAAGAAAATAAAAAAGGAATTCTTAGTTAGAAGCACACAAATATTTTATATATATGTTCACATATCATATGGATATTCATCTCCATTATTCCCTATTTAATGATACTTCTTTTGGCTGGGATTCCAAAGTGAAGACAGAAAATTTATTTCAGCATATTAAACTTAAATTTATCCTTGCCATTTTTCAAAATCAATCAGTATCATAAAATTGTAATGTCTTTAAAAATGTCTCATTAACTTTTATTTCACTAGTGTTTTGAAGACTCTATAATTGGATTCTGGTATGTGGAGACCTTGCCTACCAATTAACTATGTATTTTTTCACATCTGACTAAACAAAATTGAGTTGGGCTTAATCATTCAGTCCTTGAACTTGAATAGTTTTTCCTGTTCTAAAGTGTTTCTCAAGCAACTGTAAATGGGGATATTGAATCCTTATGTGTATCTAGTTAAGCATTCATTTTCCCTATATGTATGTGCATCTGTATGTATGCATGTTTTACTCCAATGACCCTGAAAGGATTTGTCAGCGGTTGTAGCACAAAGCCTTTGATGCATGAGAAAATATTTTAATGCTATTGACTCTGGTTTCTTACACTAAAGTTTGCATTGTCCTTACCACAAAAAAGGGGGGAGGAGGCACAGGGAAACTCTTGGCGGTAACAGACAGGTTTACTACTTTGAGGTTCACAGATACATGCATATGTTCAAACTCATCAAATTATGTATATGTATATATATATATATATATATATATATATATATATATGTAATATGTGCAATATTTTGTATTAACTATAGCTCAATCAAGCTGTTAAAAATGTTCATTTAATCAGGCTACCATAATGACTACAAGTATTTTTAAGGTACTAAATAACTAAATAAATGAAATATGATGGGTCTACAATGTATAGATATTGCTACTAAACATTATCTCTCACTAAAGAGACATTTAATGTATAAGATATTGGGCTCCATCCAGACTCTATTGATTCAAGCTCTGATTCTCCCACTTTCTACATGGATGATCTTGGACAAATTATATAAATTGCCTTTGACTCATTATCCTTACCTGTAAGGGGAGACAGAAATATCATGTATCTCAGTTCTGTTGACTGTTAAATGGAAAAATGCCTGCAGGCTGGCTGACCCATCTGTCTCTTAGGCAAGGGGACAGTTTTCCTCAGTGCTATCCAAGTCACTAATATGTCACTCTGGACATGTAACATTGTTTTTTTCAGCTTCTTTTCTCTCTTTTGAAAGAGAGACAGCATACTCAAAAAACAGGGATATCAACAGATAAATAAGATTTATCAGGGTGCCTGGGTGGTTCAGTTGGTTAAGCATCTGACTTCGGCTCAGATCATGATCTCACGGGTCATGAGTTCCAGCCCCGCGCTAGGCTCTGTGCTCCAGTATCTCCCATTAAATCACGGCACAGTTAGTCAAGTGATCCCTGACATTGTGCTTTGAGTGAATTTAACCTCCTCATAACTTAAAGGAACTGCAAGTTTGGGGCTTCTGCATCCCTGTTGCCCCTTTTCTGTCATGCTGCGTCCACGCTCCATGATTTCAGCCACCCTGGCGTGTCTGTCCCCTGCACAAACCTCAACTTTCTCCTTTGTGCAATCAGATTGTGCTGCCAATCTGGAACCTTGTTAATAAGCAAAAGCAATAAATCTAACGATCACAAATTATAACTCTCTCTGAAAGGAATAAACGGTGTATTATGATTCAACACATACCTATATACTCAAAGAAGTCTCTCTGAAGTGACCGACATCTTATGTATTATCTGAAGAATGAGGTGGACCAAAAATAAAAGCATTTTTGACAGAAGTTACATTATCAGGGCATTTTTGCCTGATCAAGGGATTTTGGCTTTATTGTTTATACTTATTGCTTTCCATTAACTTATAGGAAATGAATTCTAAATGAAACCCTTCTTGGATTTTTTTTTTCCCCTAAGAAGCATAAGACAACTAATGCATACACAATAATGTTAATAAAAGCCATAAGCAGGGGTGCCTGGGTGGCTCAGCTGGTTAAGAGTCTGACTCTTGATTTTGATTCAGGTCATGATGTCACGGTTTGTGAGTTCGAGCCCTGCATCAGGCTCTGTGATGATAGTGAAGAGCCTGTTTGGGATTCTCTCTCTCTCTCTCTCTCTCTCTCTCTCTCCCTTTCTCAAAATAAATAAATAAACTTAAGAAAAGCCATAAGAAAAGAGTAAATACATTAATACAGATTCAAAATATAATGTTAAGAACAGTTGTTACTTTAGATACGATGCTATACACTCTGATAAAAAGTGAAAAAGAAAAATCAGTTTTTAATATTCAGGAAAGTAAAACACCATATTGTATTTTAAAATGTGGCCTGTCAAACATGCACAAGTGATTAGTATTAAAAATCTGTATTTTGAATGTGCCTAAAGCAGAAAAAATTAAGATATTTTTTAGGATAGTTTTGCAAGAGAACACTAAATATGAAATGTGAGACAGCGGGTGTAGGCAGTAAGGTAATGGCCAGATTATACCACTTCAACAGAGCTCAAGTTCTTTATATTTTAAAAATCCATGCACTGTGACAAATTACACAGGCAGTTATAGTCTATATTTGTTGATGTTAATGTGAGCTTTTG